TTCTCAAAATATAAGAGACTTGAGACAGGTAGAAAAATGTTTATGCGATTAAATAAGGGCTTTAACGATCAATAATAAATTTTCAAAAATTTATCTAAGTTTTTATACAGCTGTTTAAAATTCTCATTGAAGATCGTAATAAGAGACTTGAGACAGGCAGTATACTTTGCTAATCTATATTGCTCTATCAATGCGTTTTAAAATAATACTTCTTGAACATTTACAGAAGATATAGACAAAATGCAAGAGCACTAAAAATCCCCAACAGACTGTATGCCTGGATAAGGTATAAATAATGCGAAAACAGTTTCCACAATTAGTTTTAAGCAATAAAAAAAATTCTGTTGATCTTTATAGTGGAAAGTACAACAACAGCAACAGTTTATTCAATCTATCAAGAAACTTTTTATAAATTTATCTATCTATATATGCATTTATGTATCTATCTACCAGCTTGTATCTATTGCCTGTGCATATTTATCTATCTTTCTCTCTATCTATCAATGCCTATTTAGCTATCTATTTATATTTTTTCATCCATATATTCAACTGTGTATCTATCCGCCTATTTCTCTATCTATCTATTACTTGTGCAATCTTTCTATCTATTAGCAATTGCAGAGTTAGTTCCTGCAGCTTAAATGTAGTGAAATATAAAGTCATTTTATATTATTATTCTGGCACTTTCCGATCGTATCACTTGGAAGGTGTTTCCATTTCACGAATTTTCGTCGCTGTGTAGATTTGGAAGAATGCAGCTCGGTGACAACAAATTGTCAGTTGGCTTGTAAATTGTTTTCGACGCTGTCAAACATTTCGAATTTGTGGTTGCAATTTGCATAATGAGTTGCCAAAATGTTGACAGCTGTCCGAAAGCTGTCGAATCTGTTTGAGTTGCATGCGAAAGTTGGGTTTGGGGATCAGGTGTAGGCTAGCCATGAAATCGCTTAGGCGAGCAATCAGCATTTATTTTGAATTTAAACAAAATGTGTGCATGTTCTGTTGTGGATGATCTTCATCTAGATCTATATCTGCCGACAAGCAGCCCGCAGTCATAAGCGCATTCGTCACAGTTTTAGGAGCAGCAGCTGAAGGATCAAAACTGCTCATAGCGTTCACTTTAATTGGCATACATTTTCGAGTTGCTTTCGTCACAGCGATGAGGCGGCTGGGGTTGAATTGTTGTTATTGCAGTTGTTGTTGTCAGCTTCATCATCAGGGCCCGGGAGCTATAGCCAGCAAAACAAAAGGCGACATTAATGCATTGCCAGGCCAGCCAGCCAGCCAGTCAGCCAGCCAGTCAGCCAGCCAGTCAGCCCGCCAGCCCGCCGAAGGGGCGTGACAAATTCGAGTACAAGCAATGGCAATGACTTTATTACCAACTGACAGCAACTCTCGACTCAACACTCCAGTGGCACACATCAATGACAATGTTGTTGTATACAAAATATGCACATCCGATGTGGCCAGGGATTTGGGTTCGCATCTGACTCTGACTCTGCCTCTGACCCTGCCAGCTGTATATTTGTGTGTGGCTCGACGACAATAAACACTTTGGCTATTTATGAGGTTTTAATGAACATGCGCAGTGAGTGATCGTGATGACTAATGAAAGGATATGTATTCTATGAAATCAAAATCCCAACACATTTCGCTTATGAATTTGCAGAATTAGAAGGCGTGTCGAATGCTTTCTCCCTTTTCCCCGCTTTTCCCTCTCGCTCTCCCTCTATCTTTCGAGTGGTGCTGCTTTAGGGGCACGTTAATTATGATTGACAGGGCGTGTCGCATCTATTGAGGCACTCAATTGTATGATATTGCCATTCCCATTCCCGTTAAAAGCCAATTAAGTGGCATTCTCTAATTGATTTGGAATATGCATTTGAGGGTATCGACTTACTACGCGCCAACTTAATTGAAACTGCGCCAAACAGAGCATTTAAGTCAAGTGCAAGGCTTTTATTACACTTCATGAAGCAAAAGCTGTCTTTAAACAATAAGTATTTATTAGAAGAAGAAATATTTGTAAATGTTTTTGAGCGCCCTTTAAACTCAATCTTTGATTTTGGTTCCAATATCTTTTTGGGATCTGCAACCCAATAACAATAAGTATATATTAGAAAAAGGAATATTTGTAAAAGTTTTTGAGCTTCCTTAAAATCAATCGTGGATTTTGGGATCTGCAACACACGAATGTTGTAAAGTTTCCATTAATCGCAAAGCAGTGAATCTGAACTCATTTCCCACATTAATTTGTTCAATTTCAGCTAATTTGCAAAATAACGTACAGATAATGCAACGTCTAATATATTTTTAAGCTTTTAAAGTCAATAAATTAAATCATAATTCTAATTCAGTTACTAATGGCATTTAAATGAATGACAAACAAAAGCGAAAAGGTGATGAAAAAGCTAAAGATAATTGTATATTCAAGTCAGCCAATCCACATTTGTTTACTTATTTGAAATAGGAAATGCTTTTATTAACAAAAGTAGCAAACAAATATTTCAAGTTAAATACGAAAAAGCTACAGAGAAGGTTTAGAGTTATGTAAACATATTTTTATTTAATATTCTGGAATAATGTCACTGATATGTTAAATAATACCTATGTAGTGTATTGGGTGTAAACTGAGCCTAGCGGCACATTATTTCTTTAATAAAAGAACTAAGTAAGTTTATTGAATATAAATACTAAGAAGGTACTGTAAAACTTAATAGATCTCCATTAATAGAATTCTTTTTAATAGAATCTTTTGAAATATTCAGAAATAACATCATAAATATTATCAAATGCAAATTATTCTTTAATTACAGGCACATAATGAGAATTTCGAAAACTCATTATTACAAAGTTACTGAGAAGGACTGCAGAAATTTAATAATAGTTCACCTTATCGAAGATTTATAATTGATATTCTTAAATAATATCACAAAATACCTACCAAAATATACTTATGGTATATGTATGTATATACATATGTGCATTATAAAATCGAATATACATACATAACTTCCGAAATACTTAAAAAGTGCTTATGTCTATTGTATATAAACTAAGCTTAAAGGTAAATGCGGCAAATGCCAAGCGCGGTACGTTGCCAACGACGGCATTGAAAGCAAAAACTATTTATCGATTCCGGTTTAACAGTTACATCATTTCACTTAACCCGGCAAACAATAACTAGAGGAGGGGTTGGTGGAGGCGTACTGCAGAAAATCAGTTAGACACAAAATTAAACAGACATTTGCATGCAAAAGTCAAGAAACAAAACAACAACAGCAAATCAGGACAAACAAACAAGTCGCGCTAGGGCGAAAATTGAATAAATGCACCAAACACACACACACACACACACAGACAGACATATAAAAACACACGCTGCGTATACGTAATGCCAGGCAAATGTGATTTACTGCAATCAATTTAAATGCATTGCGGCAAAAAGACAAGGAGGGCTGCAAGACACTGCGGATGGGATGTGTTGAGAATGGAGGGGCTACGGCGAGGGTGTGCGCCAGAGAATGCGAATGCGCATGAGAATGGCAGCGACACCTTCTCAAAGCTGATTTTAAAGACTTTTGCAAATTACCGCAGTCAGCGAATACATCAGCGACGAAAATCAGCCGACAAAGGCAGAATAAAAAAAAATATAAAAAAAGAAGAAAAACGGGACAAGCAACGAAGCCAACGACGACGACACAAAACTAGACATCATTATTGATGACAATTGAGTGAGCGAGCAACCCAAAAAGCAGCTGGGCCAAGCACCAAGAGTAGAGTAGAGCGAGAAAAAGACCGTCAGAGGCAAAATTGTGGAGCACTAGAGATGGAAACACTTTAAAGTTTTTATATATACACATACTTCATATACAGACGTGAATGTATTTTTCAAAAAAAAAATTTTTTTTAATTAGTAAAAGAGTGTTTTAGATAAGCTATTTACTTAAGACATAATTTGTATCTATCCCAACAGTATGTCTATTTGAACGATATCTGACTCCTATTAAAAAACCACAGATAATGTTTTACAGAACAATTGTAAAGGTTTTCTCAATTATATGTCTTCTTCGTGCTGTTCCATATTTTCTCGTGATTTTTTGGAAGATATTTTAAAAATTTGTAACATTTGAACATTTGGGCCTGCACGGCCCACGCCCATCTCCAATGTGGACAACAATGACAAGAACGGCGACAGCGACAGCGCAGCAGCGGCAATTACGATAATTAACGCAGGCAGCCAAGTGGAAAGCAGCAGCCGCAGCAGCAGCAGCAGCAGAGGATAGCAGCAATAAAGAGAATGAGAGAGACAGAGAGCGATTGTCATGTGAGCGAGCGCATGTCAAATTGTAAAAATTGATGACGTTCGGGGCACGTTGACAGCGCAGATATATCAAAGCGAGCCAAAAGCCAAATGACAGCGTAAATGTGAGGGGAGAGCGGAGAGAGGTGGAGGTGGAGGCAGTAGAGGCTCAGTTCCTTCGTGCTGATTGGCTGGCAGCTGCAAAGGCACGCCTTCGTCTGTGCGAGGCGTTGCACACAGTTCCAATTAGACTGCGCAGCTGCAGTGACGTCATAACAAATACAACGCCACGGCCGACATATGTGTGTGTGTGCGTAAAGTTGGCTGCCGCTCCAAACCGGTTGCACACACACACGCACACGCAAAAACACACAGTGGGAGAGTTAAATTGAAAGAGAGCGAGCGAATGAGAAAACCAACAGCCACGAGCCATTTTTTTCGGGCCGGCCAAGAGCTCAGCAAACCTGAAACATTCGAGAGCGCAACGAGTGCTGCGCGTGTTTTTGTGCAGTAATGTTGCACGTTGTTGCTCGATAGGCCGATTGTCGATTGTCGAATTGCTTGTGGGTTCGCGATGACGTTTTTGCCGACGCGTTTTTTGCGAAAGTGAATGAAATGTGTTATTAACAATAGCAATAGTTGCCCGCCACTAAATGTTGTGCAAATTCAATTAAAATACAGCAGCAACAAACAACAAATGTTCTTTGTGCATCGCATTGCTAGCAACAACAATATGCCGCAGCGTTCGCTTAGTCCGGCTACAACAGCAACAACAACAACAACCATCCGCAGCTGCAGCAGTCCCGCCATTTCGGAGATCTCTGTAGGCTCGCCCAGTCCGCCACCGACGAGCATGCAACGCACGCTAAATCTGAAACGTTTGCGTCTTCTCCGCACCCCCACGCCCCTTCAGCAACAGGCCGCAGCGGCCAAGTGCAACAAATCTCAGGCAGGTGAACGCATCAAAAGCTTTAGCATTGCGGACATTCTAGGACGGCCCGATGACAGACCTTCACCAGCAACCATACCTGCATCCAGTTTGCTTAGCGAGCGTCTGGCTGCCCCCAACCATGGAGCCAAGTTGGCGCCACCACTGATCGCACCAGCCCCTACTCTGCTCTGGGATGCTGCCACTCGTGGCGCCGTACCCACTCTGCATCCCTTCCTCTCGCCCGCTCTCCTGCACAGCTATGAGCAGCGTCTGGCCTGGGACTATCAGCGGCAGCTGCAGGAACACTTTCAGGCGCAGGCGCAAATGCTGCGCCAAATGAGCATGGATCCCGCCATAATACCCTCCGAGGACGGCTCTGAGCGTTCCCAGCGCTCCAGCAGCAGCAATGGCAGCACCGATTGCTGCTCCACCACAGAGCCCACGGCTGTGACAGAGACGGTTAGCGTTGAGGAGGACAAGCGAAAGCATTCGAACACAATTGGAAATGGGAATTCGTCAAATCCTGCGGCTAGTGATACACCGCTGGATGCCCTCTTTCAGCTGTCCACCAAAAATTTTGATGAAGAGCAAGGTAAGTGGATCCCTAATTACCTATTAATATGCAATCATTAACAACAACTTTTCTGCATCCTTCAATCATTCTTTCTTCAGAGTATGAATACTATATTGTTGAAATTATGAAGAAAATACCTTCTTCTTTTCTTTTTAAAATTAATGAAATATTTATATCTACAAGTATTTTTCTATACAATATTGTTTATTTATTTATTTTGTAATATTTTGTTCTATGGATAATAAGCAATTGATGGTGGCTAAAATTTAGAATTTAATGCACACCTATTTTTGGTGTCTAATCTGTCTGTTAATAAGTATTAAGAGTACAGCTCTCTTCCCTTATCAAATGACCTATATTTCTATTCCTCTCAGTGTCTAAGAGACAGTTGTGTATCCTCAATGGAAATACATTCGTTAATTTACTTCAAATATTTTGGCAAATATTTATTTATTTTAAAATGCTTATTTTGTGATAAACGGGCCGATGTGTGAAGAATCGACACTCAATAAAATTTACGAATTAATGAAATAAACTCTATTACACATGTTCTAATTTTGCATCGAAGTATTTATAATTTAATTATTAAAATTCATAATCTTTATACAATTATAATTTATAATGAAATTCATTTTAATAAGCTTAAAGTTGAAGGTTTTATGAGCTTATGAAACTTAGTTAGGAACTCCATTAGACATGCTTCAAAATGATTGTTTTTCATCAAAGATTATATGAAAATGTACATTTTGTAATTAAAATTCTCTTTATAAATTTGAAGATATTTTTGGAGCATTGCAAAATTATAGTTGGTTTATCTGTAGATTTTGTTTATCTAACTGCTTAGCATACAAATCTTCGGGGAATATAAAATAAAACTCAAACCAGAATAAATTCTCCGAAATCTATAAATTAGCTTTAAAGCTTCTTAGGCTGTTTTTTCCTTCACTTGATATATCAGTTTTGTTTTTTGTTTTGGTACAAACAATGGGTTTTAATTTTGCTCCCTCGTTACGCATTCAAATTGTTCGGTTCTGAACTGAATTATATTTTAATATAATTTAGTTGTTGGGTAACCACAAAAGCAACAACAATAACAACAAGCTCACTGCACAATTTCTCGTCAGCAGCATTCTGAACTGAATATGAATCTGATCATCAAGAGCGATCATCATCATTACCATTAGCTCTCTCACATCATAATCTATATAGGAAAACTGCCGCACACTGGGCTGAGGAAGTTTCAATTAAGTTTAAATACGAAAAGCTAATTTACAAGGAAATAGCTTTAAATCATGAAATGGGGTAGCTTTTTTGAATGGATATACACGTTCATAGCTGTATAATTTCTAAGATAAATAATGAGTAATAGGGTGCCTCTTAAATACTTAAAATTTGAGAAAATTCAGAATTCCTTTACGTATTATAGCTCATTATTAGGGAGAAGCCAAGTTGGAAAGATAAGGACAAGGCACAGGGAGCAGCAGTAGGATACGCAAAAATAATAAAAAAGATCAGTCAAAGACTAAGTAAAATGTTCAAACGAATCCTTACTTGCGATGTTAAGGAACTTCTTCCTGATTGTTTTTGAAAAACGTTTTCATTGTATTTTGATTGTATTTGGTATTTAAATTTGTTAGAAAAATACAAAAGAATAAGAAACAAGTTTTATTCGGTTAAACATTATAATCGATTTTAAAATAAAATAACTCTCAAAGGAGATGAGTTTGGTATTCATAGCATAGCTGTTATTTATTTATTTATATCAACACACATATGACTGTCAACATAGGAGGAAAAAAATAAAAATAATGAAAAGCTAGCTATAAGCTAGAAAATCCAGAGAAGGAGAAATCTAATCAATTACAATAATATCTAATTAACGCCTCCGACCCGGTGGGGGAATATTATTTGCCTTTCCACTAGATATACATTTCTAGGCAGCTATTTTCTTAATTCCTAAAAGTTTTGTATTCCATGTATCAGCTTTTGTACCTAGTACCTTGTACTTGTAAACAAGTCTGAGTTTTGTTCGAACTTCTGTTGTTTGCCAGCCCAGTGTGCGCTGGATCGATTGATCAATTGTTGTCATTACGTCTTGATGAGATTCTGCTTAAAGCGTAAAAACAGTAGTAAGGTCAGTTGCCCGCGGTGGCTTAATCAATTTCGACCATTACCATTACCACAGCCTGCTTCTCACCATCAACATCGTCGTCGTCGTCGTCGTCTTCGTCATCCGTGCCGTTTTGATTGCGTCTGTTCCAACTCATCTCTGGCCGGTGATCGCTGATCGCTTTGGCGCATGCGTATCGTTCGGCATAATTTGCTTAGCGCGGCAAATATCAGCGTGGCCCGTTGATCGGCGGCGTTGATTTCTCGTTAAGCCGGCAAGACCTTAGATTGTCAGTGGCAGTCGCTGAAGCAGCGATTCGTGTGAGTTCCCAAAAGCGGCTACTGTTTGGCTGAAATTGAATTTACGCGCAGCACGTACAGCTCGCCGCATTATGTGGCATGATGAGCCCCAACGCTGCTCTGATTGCCACAACCAGCTATCGAGAGCGTCTGCATCTAATAAGTTGCTTAGCTGCCACTGCTACTGCTACTGCCACTGTCGGAAATGGCCAGCAAGTGATTACGTTTATTGCATTTGTTGTGGCGCTGTGCAGTGTGGTTCAATGCGGGGAACTAGATCGATTGATTTTGGCCAACTTTAGTGAAAAATAGTTAATAGTTTGGTTAAAAACTTCACATAACAGGTATTTTAAAGACGAAACAAATTTAAGACATTTTACAACAACTATTTGAAAGTTTGATTTTTAAACTATCGATAATAACTTCCGCTCTCTTCCGACAAGTTTGTTCAAATCCGTAATAATAATACAACAGTAAACAAAACTGCTGTTCAGAAATTTTTGCTATAAAATAAAGCAAGAAAGAATTAATCAATTCTAATGGAAGGATAAACAAAGATGAACCTCTTAATAAATAGAAAATACAAAACAAGCTGGTAAACAAACAAAGAACAGACAAGAAATCTTTCTAGCCTTCGCTTTGTAGCTTAGGAATAAAGTTTCTTCTGATAATTCGAACCAGTTCGATTTGTGTCGAGACACGACTACAATTTTATTGGCTGTTCTATATTGGCAGGCTTTTGGGTCAGCAGCAAATATTTAAGCGCCATTGATGGCGCGCACGTTTTGCGAAATTGTTTTTATTTCTGTTCCCAAGCGCAGATGGAGAGAGAAAGAGAGCGAGGGAGAGAGCATCCGGTTTTCATCTTGGCCTAATGCGAATGTCCATTAGGCTGGGTGTGCAAACAATTTGCCATTAATAAAGTTGTGCGGGGCAATTTGTGGAGCTGACTCTGAGACTGCTTTGTTGTTAATTAGAAATTGATCAAAAGGCCAGGCCGGCTGTTCAGTAAATTGCAAGACCCATGAATTGCGTCGCCTTTAAGCACTTCCGCCTTTCGCACGCTTCGAATAATAATTGCAAAAAACAAAACGAAACTAAAAATAAAACCAAAACAAAAAAAAAAGAAAAAAATCGTTGTCAGAGTAAAGTTAAAGTTAAAAGTTAATAACATATAACGCCGATTGCAAGAGATAAGCCCACAAGCGACAGAGAACGAACGAGAGAGAGAGTGAGAGAGAGTGCGAATGAAAGGGAGAGAGAGTGGGAAAACTAAACTAAAAAGCGGCAACATAAAAAATAATTACAATGAAAATGGCTGTAACGATTGTAACAATGGAGCGCGCTCGCTCGCTCGGATAGTTAAAGCTTGTCAATTATGAGCGCAAGTTAAAAATAATAATGGCCCGATGAGGGCATGAACACGAGCCTAAAGGGAGTTACAAGGGAGCTAGGGAGGAAGGGGGGGGAAAGACTGACAACGTTTTCATGTTAAGGCTCTAGCCTGCTGGTTGATAAAACGCAAAGACAATTGGCACAGACAGGCAGACAGAGAAACATACAGACGGACAGACAGACAGACCACATTATTATTGAACGCACAGACGCACAAGACAAACAGCAAGAACAACAACAACAACAACAGCAACAACGAGAGCAACAGCAAACAGCAACGGATGCATCCCTAATTACAATTTAATTACAAAAACTTTTCCCACTTGACAAAAGGCAGCGGCGGCAGCAAAGTTCTTGTTGTTGCTGTTGTTGCTGTGCGTGGCAGCAGAGCGTGAACCACAAAACGCACAACAACAACATCACTTTTCAGTTGACAGTTGATTTGACAGATAGCAGTGTAAACATTTCAAGAGATGCGGGCCGAAAGCCATGGGCCATGAGAGCGGGGTGGAGAGATTGCTGTTGCTGCCACAACTAATTAGTTCAACTAGACGTATACTTAATCTGCTTTAGTCACTCAAAGCAAACCCACCGTTTGGTGGCACCCCAGCCAAGAAAGCACTGCCACTCTGGCAGTCAGACAAACGGTACAAGTATGTTGTCGGCAGAGGACCCAGCAATTCATTTTTGACACCCAAAGCAAAGTATTAGACACAAATTACAATAATTATTAAGAATTGTGACGAACAATAATGCTAACAACCATGTAAATGGGCTTTAACCAACATCGTTAGAATGCAATTTTGCAGTCACGTCAACAGCAACAGCAGCAACAACAAAACCAGCCATTAAATCATGCAATCACTTCAAAACAAATCACAATAAATCGACAATCAGCTTGAAAACAGAAATTGCATTAAAGGCAAAAAAGATATGCCTGCATCAAAAGTTAAATCGATAACCAACATTTGGTTCACCTTAACGAGTGAGTTTCTAAAAAGTACTCTAATTTGTGCTCCTAACTAATACTTCTATGTGTTAACGGCCTTTGGATTGTCAAGTTAAACCGTAGTTATTTTGTCTGCTTCTTTACAACCAATACCTGTATATCCCATATTACATTTCTTGGATAGCAAAACTCTTAGAATTAAAGCTCTATCGCAGAAGTTCGATTAGTTAGCTAGCAAACTTAAAATACCTTAAATATAAATCTAATTTTTGTTTCCTGGAAAACCCCACCATTCCCTGTTGCCAAAGGATGACTTTAAAATAACTGAAATTGTAGAAAGAGGCAAAGCAACCCCCATATCACTAGCATCGAAAAAAGAATTAATATTATTATTACAAACATCCAAAACTTTTCAGCCATTACAGCTAGGGGTTTGGCTACCCATCTCAGTCATATGTACATTAAATGTACAAGAGTATATTAGGTTTGCGGGAGCTGAAAATGTGACAGGCAGAAGGAGGCGTGGCAGACCCCACAAAGTGTGTATATTCTTGATCAACATTACGAGACGAGTCGATCTAGCCCTACCTGTCTGTCTGTCCGTCCGTCTGTCAGTCTGTCCGTCCATATGAACGCCTGGATCTCAGAGACTATAAGAGCTAGAGACACCAAACTTAGCACAAAGATGGGTTATGAGTGTACGCTGTGCAAGTTTGTTTTATTTTTTTTATTTTCCCCCCACTTCCCCGATTTTCCATTTGTATAATCGCCTATATCTCGGAGACTATAAGATAGGGACACCAAATTTTAGTCAAAGATGGCTTATGTGAATACGCAAAAAATTTGTATTTGGAATTTCCCTCCCTCCCCCCTCTCCACCGCAAATCGCGATTTTCTCTAACTCCCGTAATTCTTGGAATTTCGAACTCAAATTTTGCAAATACCCCCAGTTAGTAATTATGTGTCCGTATGCCTTTTGTCCATATTCGTAATCATAGACCGATTTAACAAGACGTTATAGCCATAAATATATTTGCTGCTACAGCGTCTGTTGTTGATGCTGGTGCTTTGGTTGACTGCGAACATGCTTACACAGACACGAATATACGAGCATATACATACATACACTCACATAGACGCAATTGCTTTGTATATGTGGAATTATACACCCTGTAAAATCTATCAAATCTTTGTTTTTTTAATTCTCTTACTTTTTTAATTTCTATAAATATTCTAAACATATGTACAGAGAATTTCAAAGTCGGTCCACCGACTTCAGCTTTTTTACTTGTTTTTATATATGTCCATGGTTACTGTGCTTCGTATTCTTCCTCTTCATATGCATATGAATATACCACGAACAAAAAATAACAATAGATAACTAAAATTAAATTGAAATCAACATAGTATTAATTACACGTAACTATAATTTATACAAACCGAACAAAACCACAGTCCCTATAATTACGTCCCATTTTAATGTAGCACTACAAAAATAGATTACCGTCGATATTAAAGTTAATCCTAGAAATACAATCATCAAAAGAAGGGCGAGGTTTCGATAGTCCTACAATTGAACAATAAAAGGACGAGTTTTAATCCAAGATTCTCATAATCATAAAAGATATGTATGTTCTTACCGCAAATACGCATGCTAGGAAACCAATTAGCACTATTACAACTATAATTATAAGAATTATTTGAAGAATATCGAATGTACCAAAGCTGCCGTCAGTTTTGGATTTGGATGCTAAACGATATCCTGTAATTGCAATATTGGTTACTAATAAAAAGAACCCGATAATGATGCAGTCCGTCCGTAATGACCAACAGGAACAACCTACGATAGCAAACATGGCTTTAAATTTAAACTTTTTGCGAACACTGTTCCAAAACTATTAAATGAGGATATCAATAGAGCATATACGTATAACATCTACTTGTTCATAAACAAATAATATTACGAATAAAACAGAAATGACAGCGTTCGCTGAGAAAACAATGTTTTCATTTGTTATTATATAATATATCTGACCATACACCATTTTGCAATTTTGAATACGTGGAATAATTTGTACTATTGTTCATTTGTCCATGGTTACTATGCATCGTACTCTTCTTCTTCGTATGCATATGAATAAACCACCAATAAAAAATATAAAAAGATCACTAAAATTGCGTTTAAATCAATAATTAATTACACATAACTATCATTTTTTATACAAACCGAACAAAATCACAGTCGATATAATTAGCATCCATGTTATTGTAACACTAAAAATATATATCACCGTCGATATTACTTGTATTCCTATAAATGCAATCATCAAAAGAAGGGCGAGGCTGCGATATTCCTACAATTGAAAAATAAATCGACGAGTTTTAATCCAAGATTCTTATAATCATATGAGGTATGTTTGTTCTTACCGCAAATACGCATACTATGAAACCGATTATCACTATTATTGTTATAACTGCGAGAATAATTGAAAGAATTCCGAATGCACCCCGGCTCCCGTCAGCATCTGAGTTGTCTAATGCATTATATGTTATACTTGATATAGTCAATATTAATAAAACAAAACCGATAATGATGCAGCCCGTCCGTAGGGAACAACAGCAACAACTTCCGATAACAAACATGGCTTTAAGTTCAATCTGCCGAAATTTGCGAACAATGTTCCAAAAACATTAAATGAGGATATCAAAAGAGAGCGTCAAACATCTACTTGTTCATAAACAAATAATATTACTATTAAAACAGAAATGACAGCGTTCGCTGCGAAAACACTGTTTTCATTTGTTATTATAAATATGGATTCGCTTTAATCATTTGTTAGTATGAGTATGTTTATTAAGATATTATAAATCTTGTACATAGTATAATGTCAAACTTTATTCTTCCATGTATACTTGAATATGGGCTTAAACTGTATAGCCTTCTCTGCTATATATATTTATGTTACTGCTTCGTGTTCTCTTTTAAATGAAGTTACCACGGAAAAATTTATGAAAATCTCTAAAGTTGAATTGAAGTGAAAATTTTGGGATCATTACGCATAGTTATGTTTATACGAACCGAAAAACAATAAAACGAGAAGGACTATATCCCACGTAATTATTTGCTTACGCTGGTGTATCGACATATAATAGACAGCCATTAACAAGATCATTGAACCTATTATTACTGCCATCAAAATTAAGGCGACACTGCGACGGTCCTATAATTGAAAATAAATGGACTCGTTAAACAAGATATAAGCAAATAAAGATAAAAGATATGTTCTTACCGAGGAAACGGATAAAATGAAAGCGATTATTAACAGTATTGTTATAATTATAACAATAATTGTAGCAATATTTAATATGCTAATGCCTTCGTGTCCATCGATGGATTGGAATAAAATATAAACTCCACGTACAATTGTACTTATTAGTAAATATACCCCGATAATCAAGCAGGCCGTGCGCAATGAACAACACCAGCACCGTTTTACAATAACTAATTCGATTCGGTTTTCATGCATTGTATTCCAAAACAATGATTCGGGGGATTTCAAATGATAGAATAAAATGTTAACTTAAAATATAAGTGACAGCGTTCGCTCAGCAAAAATGGTTTTAAATTTGTAGTACTAATATTTATTAGGCTTGCCTTCTCCATAGGCAGAGCAAGTTGCTAACAAACCACAAAAGGTGCATCCTATGGCATGCAGGACTATTTAGAAATTACAACGCGGCATAGATTGGCCAGCAAATCTTTCAGAATGGTGGTAATTACATGCCGTTCGATTTCAGCGATCCATAAACGCTGGCCAATTTAGGCGAATTTGGAGAATAGTGGATAGCTCCCATTATATTTCTTGTCAAAAAATCAGTTCAAAGTGTCGATTCATTAAATTATATTCATTCTTCACAATATTCGTGACGCTGCACCAAACGCTGTAAAGACCGTTCTTGTAGAATAATTCCCTTGAAATCGTAGAAACAAATCAACACTGACTTCACGTTTATCGGTTCTGGTTGATGTGTGGGTGGCAGGAGATTTCCGCTTATTTTCGTAGGATCGTAGGCGAAACACCAATGTTGTATTTTGATCCAATATCCTTAGTCCTCAGTCAAAAACACATATCTCAGATCCATTCAGTAAAAATGCATTTAATCATTAAGATTATTTAAAAGTTGAAAGTGTGTTTTAACGCCTTCAGTTTGCCTTAATTTTCTTAGACTTATCAGTTAAGCATATATTTGTTGCACAAATTAGTATAAGGGCTTAGACGATCATAAATTTTTGAAATACTGTTTGAATATTGTATAAATATTGTTGTAATACCGCAGAATAATTAAAAATCTCATAAAAACCAAGTGGAGAAGCTACATATAATAATTACTGAAATTAAATAAATTAAGAAAATTAATCACATTTTATGTACAGAGTATAAACACGCATTTGTGGGCGGATGGTTAAACAAACTAAAACTCACGTCTAAAGAGCATTTTCTATTTAAATGACCTTTGAAAAATTCTCGTAATCCGAAATAATGTTATCAATAAAATATAATTAATAATAATAATAGAATATGATAAGTGATAATCAGAATAAGTGTTTATAAATTGATAAATATGTACTTATCCATGAGTTAAATTCATAAAAATTGTTTAGAAAAATAACATTAAAAAACTGATTTCAGCACTTTAGCAATGAGGCATCTATCTAGTATTAGAATGTCAGCCTAATGATTCGAACAAAAAAATCCCTAATTCGGATCGTTTATTGCATTTTCATTCGTTTTAAATGCTAAATACTTAGAAAGCCAGAGGCGTCATAAGCAATCCCCTTAACGTTGTATCGCCATATCGTAACATTGTAAAAATCTTGGGATCGCAACAAGTCGCAGCCACTCAATAAAAACCCAAGCAAAAATCCACACGCTGCACATTTAAACATAAATCAAGCAAACAAAAAGAAAATCCTATAGACAAATACAATAACAATATATACATACGAGTACATACATACATACATCCATCAGCAATTTATTTCAAATGATTAATAGCAGCGCACAGTTTCAAATAAATTTGTTAATGACATTAAAACGACGTCGTCGACGAGGCGTTAGATACACACTCACACATACAGACAGACATACTTTAACTAAAATTCCTCAAACGAGCAAAAAAATCTAAAAATTGACTACAGGCGCAAAAATTCTAGCAACCATATACAAGTATGTACGATACATAATAAATGTTAGCTACCACATTGAATACAGTAGTGACCATCAGAATGTGGACGAAACAAATATATGCCAAAAAATATCAAACAAATGCCGAGAGGCCCATCAGGCGACATTTAGGGAGACAACAGAATGGGTTTTTAAAATATTTAAAACCCGACTAAATAAAAATTTAATATTCGTTTATCCGTCATGCAGAAAATTGAAAGCGTTTGTTCTCATTGAGCTTAAATTTTAGCAGATTGTAGAATTCGGTGGACTAATATATTTTAAACTATAGATATATTTTATAAAAATAAAAAATAAGCCTTTGGCGTAAACCAAACCCACATCTCCACACTTGTGATTTAATATCGCCACACTTTTAATTTAATATTTTAATATTTAAATTTAAAATTTAAGTGTGCACACTTCATATTTACTAAAACACACGATGGTGCAAAATCGATGTTAAAAAAAAGTTAAATCTTTTTGTAAATATTGATATTTCCGTGTTTTTTTTTATCAGTGTACTAATTGCGTCAGGACAACAAACGCGCCACCTTTTGGCGGCCAATGACAAGGGTGGTGGAAAACGCTGACAGTTTCCGATTGTATTGCTGATTTACATAAAAAATACATAATCTATCCCAATGGATTATAAAATCCTGATTCGTTACTCATCTCGATCGAAGAATTTTTGTATGTATGATCGCCTTGTGACTCGTCAAATTATAGGTATGGATTATGTTTCTCTCCGAAATTTTTCGTTAATTTCCAATCCATTCTCTTGTCTGCGACATTATATTACAATTCTGAATATCAAAATCAGCTGCCCAACATAAAGGATCGATTTTTTTCCAAACTTGCCTCGCTATTTCTACTTTTAAACTTAAGATACATACATATTTTAGTAAAAATTTTATTTAGTTTTATAAAAGGAATATTATCATTTTGAATTCTTCATTTTTTAAATTCTTAAAGGTAGCTCATACTTGAAACATTTTAAATATATTTTCATTTACTTTAGATTCACTTTAAAGGCAGCCTTTCACGCAACTTTTCAACTATTCCTCTCGGTTTTTAACCAATAATTCCTAGCACTGTTTCGATTCCATTTGCCGCCACTGTAGAGTAAATACTATATGTTAACCATGTGGTCGGTGGTCGTCGCTTCTCACCGCTAGTTGCGGCATTTTAAAACATGTCTAAGATATATTGCGAAAATGGCTTCGAGCTGAAAATGTCCACGAAGTATTAGTTGACAAGGCGGGAGGGGCGCGAACGATGGTCAAATAAATTCGCTAATTAACGGTTGCGCCTCAAATATTTTATTAAAAATTATAATTCAGCGTAGTAAAATGGCAGAAAAATATGAGTTTGCGTGTTAGGCGGTCATAAGACATTAGCATTTATATGAATTAACATGAGCAGCTAACTAAGCTAACTAAGGCGCTGGAACTGCTGCCATTTGGACAGCTTTCAAATACATTGATGGCCCCAGGGCTACATTGATTTGCGTTTTCAGTTAGAGAGTGTGTACGAGATTCTGGTAAGACCCTGAGGCATACACACGGGTGGTCCGGTCCCTGGAAGAAAATTGCATGCCAAGGGCACTACTCGTGGCTGCAGAAGAAGCAGCAGCAGCAGCAGTAACAGCAACAGCAGCGAGAAGAAGTTAAGTTAGTAGAGGGTTAAATTGGTAGTCAGGCGGCAGACAGGGCAACAGGAGAGAGGAAAGTTGTGCGCAAAAGCAACGCACTGAAGGTGTTACCTGCACGCTTTTGATGAGCACTAATTGAGCTCAAGTTGCATTTTTCTTTGCTGGCCATTACTTGCGACTCAGGACGGCGTCGAGATCAAAGCAACAAGCCGGTCGGGCCACATACACACACACACACACACACACACACACACACATAAAGACAAGCGAAAATCAAGCATCGACAGTAGGACAATTGGACAGTCGCAACTCGACCAGGGAGAGTTGGTAATAACTTTATCATGGCCGCTTAGACCATATGGGAGGCCCAACTGTTGTAGTTGTCCAGCACTTTTGTTGCCAAATGGCAATAAAGCGCCGAAAAAAAGGGAGCTGACAACTAACAAATGAAGCACACACACACTCACACAGAGACAGACACATTCACAGCTCAGGCTCAGGGCTCACGCCTGGGCGGCCGGCCAAGTCAGGACCTTGTCAAAGTTTTTAAAAACGCATTCGCGTTTATGCCAAACATTAATCACGCGCGCATTTCGCATACCAGCCCGAATCAGCAATCCTGAACTGCTCCGAACTACACTCAGAAAAAAAGAAAACCCAACTATAAAAAGTAGACCCACTAAACTACTTTTGTAATAAACATTTTTAAGTATTTTGCGTTGTACCTTCACTGAAGTGTGAAACAATTACAATCAATTCCAAAATCAATAGTGATATGATATGATATATATATATATATGATATAGTGATATGGTTATACTTAAAGAATGAACTATATCTAGCATTGAGTACAAATTTTTAA